TTTTTTTTTTGGGAGCATTCACCATAAATATATATTTAGCTGCTTTTAAAGATGGAAATGATTCATCTCTCCAGCCCTTCAAAGTTTCAGCTGTTATTGATCTCTGCAGTTCATTTCTGCAAACAGCATCTGCCTGCAGAACAATACCCCCCAAAATCCAGCCATTCCAAGGGATAATTACTTTTATTGCAGCCACAGTTTTATATTTAACTCATAAATAATGGGCTGTGTAGAGTGGGATCAATCCTTCTGCAGGCTGGGGTAGGACTGAGCCCCTCATGGCCGAGACAGACCCCAAAATTTCAGGGCACAGAGTCCCCCAAAACAGCAGGGAATGAAAGAACTGCTCTGGATTCCTTGGGATACATCAATACAACGACTCCAAGAGCAGCAGCTCCAGGATCTGAGAATTCCCTGGCCTGGAGAACATGCTGAGTGCACATTCAGGTTAAGCCTGGAGCTGGAGCTGGCTCTGGAATGCTAACAAGGGATCAGGTCCCTGTCAGGTACCACTGGCACAGCCCCAGCCCTGCCTGGCACAGCCAGACCTGTCCCAGAACCTCCAGCTCCATTCCCAGCCTGCCTGGGAAGGATTTTCCTCTCTTCATCTGCTCCAGGAAGGGAAAGGGGCAGAGCTGAGCTTCACTCTGAGCTTTACCTTGAACCACAGAGCTCCAAACCAACCCCAATCCCTCCCTGGGAGGGGGGCGAGGCCCTGGCACAGGTTGCCAAGAGAAATNGATTAAATCTTGGCAGTGACTGTGCAGATCTAAACCTTTGGTGTTATTAAACCAGCACATTTTTGATTGTTATTCCATTACTGGAAAAATCTGGGAGAGGCCTGGGATAGGAGTAGCACCTGTGTTTAAGTGCAGCACGATGTGGAAATAGGGAATAAGAAATAAGAGTGGGTTAATGGGGTTATTTTAAAGAAAATACCAGCTTTGACAGGGCTTGGAGCAATCTGGTCTGACAAAAAGTGTCCCTGCCCTTGGCAGGAGCTGGAACTGGAATTTTTAAGGTCCTTCCAACCCAAATAATTTAATCACAGATTAAATGTGTGATTAAAGAAAATTCCCTCAGCCGAGGCCTCGCGTTCACCTCGCGGGGCAGAACAACCTGAGCACTGCTCACCACTGCACTGCTTCCAACCATTCCTCCCCCATAAACGGGAATTCCAAACCAGGAATTCCAAAGCTCCCCTTTTAAAACAAAAAGGAGAAACCAAGGCAGGTTTTTTTCAAGGGAAAAAAAAAAATAAATAAGGCAACAAAACGTTGCTGTTTTTCCTGAACAGCCTCAGCCTCAGCAGCAGCCCCGGCCTGGGGGGGCTCTGGTGGGTTCCCCTTTTTTTGGGAGAACATTCCCACGGCATTCCCAGCTGGATCCAAGCCTTGCCAGGGCTCCCCACCTCCGAGGCCTCGATGGCCAGATCCATCTCCTCGTCGCAGACGTTGGACCAGAACTCGATGCCCTGCAGGGCCACCTCGTCGATGTCGCTCTTCATCGCCTCGATCGTGATCTGTGACGGGCAAAACACCAGAAAAAGGACATTTTAAAAAGTTGTTTCTCCCGGAATCCACGGCCCCACTTCGGGCCCGTGGCTGAAATCGGAGGCCACGGTGGAGTTTTTGTTCTTGGAGGTTCCAGAGGGGTTGTGTTGTTGGATCTGAGCCCCCCGGGAGGGCTGGAGGGCAAAATCAGCATTTGGAGCCTCAGGGCTGGGGGTTACGGGGGTTTGTAGGGAGAGGGATGGCCAGGATCCAGGAAAAGGGAGGGAAAGGAGGAATACAAGAGGAAGAAAAATCAGGAATACAAGAAGAGTTAAAATCAGGAATACCAGGGGAATTAAAATCAGGAATACCAGGGGAATTAAAATGAGGAATACAGGAGGAATTAAAATGAGGAATACAGGAGGAATTAAAATGAGGAATACAGGAGGAATTGAAATCAGGAATACAAAAGGAAGAAAAATGAGGAATACAAGAGGACTTAAAATCAGGAATACCAGAGGACTTAAAATCAGGAATACCAGAGGAATTAAAATCAGGAATACAACAGGAATTAAAATCAGGAATACAAGGTGAATTAAAATGAGGAATACAGGAGGAATTAAAATCAGGAATACCAGAGGAAGAAAAATGAGGAATACAAGAGGGATTAAAATCAGGAATATAAGAGGAATTAAAATCAGGAATACAAGAGGAATTAAAATCAGGAATAC